AGTTCTGGATAGCAGCAGTGTCATTTTTCATTGTTTTAAACAATGTAAAACCAATTTATAGAAAATTTCCCAGGGAGACTACATTGTAGGGGTGCACCAATAGAGATTTTCTGGGCCAAAACCAATGTCCGAGTTTTATTTATATATGTATGTATTTATTTTTTAACAAGCCATATTGGCTAATTACCGATCTGATATGCAGCCCTGCAGTGTGGAGAACAGGTCGGGCTGGTAAGTCTGTTGGGAAGGAAGGGGTCAGGGTTAGGGTTGTGGTTAGGGCTGCCATGGCTCCAGAGCCATTCCTCCCCTTTTCCTCCTGCAGGCCAGCCTGTCTCCTGTGTTGCCACCCAGCCCATGGCACCCAGGCAGAGGGCTCAAGGGGCTCTCAGCCAACTGGGATGCAGAGCTGCTGGTGCCCCCCCACCCCCATCGGGTGTCTCTGGGGAGGTGCCCTGGGGCCAACCCTGCCGCACGCCCACTCTATGCCCCAAGCATGCCCCAGCTACAAGTGTGCCAGGCATGGTGTGAGGAGCTGTTTGCACAGGCTTAGGGGTGCCTGACCCACAACATGCCGCTGCTGATGATTGCCATGGTGTCCCAGGCACACCTGTAAACCTGGCATGGGACCCTGAGTTTTGATGGTACAGATGGCAAGCCTGCCCTGCCCCACAACTTCCACTACCACCTGGAGGGCTACCTGGGGCTGCACTACAAGTCCTTGCCCCCTGCAGCCAAGGAAAACATCACCACCAGCATCAATGCATTCCTCGGCATGTAAGAGGCCCATGCCCACCGAGGTGTGGGGGCACAGGCTACTCAGTAAAGTTTTGCATTGTCTCCCACCTCCCTGCATGCTATGAGGAGGGTTCCAGGAGCCAGGGGGAGTATGGGCAGGCTAGGTGGAGAGGGAGGGCAGGGCCAGGGGCAGGGAGGGCCCTCCCTTCAGTGAAGGGCTTACTAGGTGGGTGTAGCAGGCATGCCTGGCAGCCCGAGTTGGTCCCTGCTCACAGCAAAGACATGCCTCTTGGCAGTATCCTAGGGTGAAGAGGTGCAGCATGCAGGTGGCTGGGCAGGAGCTCCCTCCAGGGAGAAGCTGGAGCTGCTGGTGGCCAGCAGTGCCATGGCCAACCTGGCCTCCTGGGTAGGGCTGAACACATTGAGCTGGTAGGGCAGGCACTGACCCAGGTTCCCAGAGCTGTTGAAGGAAGCCAAAGGCAGGGAATGCACTGGAACAAGCTCCTGGAGGGCCGAGGGGCCCTTCGCCAGTGACACATCACCATGGCTCCCAGGCTTCAGAGAAGGCTCAGGCAGGCCACTTGTGTTCAAATAGATGGCACGGTTCAGGCAAGGGTCCCAGGGCATAAGGATGTCATCCAACTGCTGCATAAAGGGCATGGACTTGCAGGCAGTCTCTGACCAGCAGTTGTGGTCAGTAATGGTGTCCCACTGTACCTGCAAGGCCTTGACTTTTATGCAGCATTGGTGTGCTGACTGGTCATGCCCACAGTCCCACATGTGGCTTGACAGGCTCTTGTACATGTGTATGTTGCAGTTACCGCTCCATGTAAACCAGCTGAGGACCTCAGCCTTTTCCCCACAGTGCAAAGAGGTCTGAAGTCTCTTCCTGGGACCAGATGGGGCCCTGGGAGGCAGCATATGGCATTGGAAAGGATGCCAGTGTGGATCCCTCAACAGCTTGCTAGGCCTCTGCATGACTCCTGATTCTGGTGGGACTCAGCATGTTCCTGCACCACCCAGACCAGGGGGCATGGTGTGGGACAGGCAGGTGCATGGCGAGGGTGTGCCAGGCACCAGTAGCAAGGTACAGGCAGGCTGCTATGGGTAGCCTGGGGCCAGATGGATTGGAACCTGGTGGCCAGAGACTGGCTGCAGGTGTCCTAGGGTCCTGGCGTGCCTGGCAGGTGTCTGCAGCACTCAGCACAGGCGTATGGCATAGGCCTGGAAGCTGCATGGTAAGGCAGTGCCAGGCAGCAGCGCTGGGGTGTAGGCTGATTGCTGCACTTGCTGTGGGGCTTCCACTGTGTAACGCAGTGGCCAGAAACTGGATGAAGGTGACCCAGAGCCCCAGAATCTGCACAGGCTTTTAAGTGCCAGGGGCTGGGGTAGGCAAAGAGCCATCTGCCCCGGGGTTCTGGGACTGGGCTGCTGGTGGTGGGGCTTCTGCTTCCAGTCAGCATCTACACGCGCACTTCTGCACAGTAACTAATTGCAAGTAAATTTGTTACTTGTATTTACAAGTAGCAAATTTACTCATGAGTAGAGCAATTTACTGTGCGTGTAAATGGCGATGCTTACTGCATAGTAATTTTCACTAGTCTCGAGTAAAGCGCCTCATATAGACATATCCAGGGTCTCTTAGCCAAAATTCTACAAGACTGGGCCTAGTCATTAAGTCCAGAATAGTCCTAGTTGCTGGTAAAATTTAAGGATGCCACAGAATCTCAGAATCTTAGCAAATCAGGTAACTTTTATAAATAAGAGATTAGGCTAAAGAGGGAGAATCAGCCCCAGTGAGAAAGAGCACGGTTTATATTGCAGCAGAGCAAGGTGGGAATGAAGGAAGGTTGCCTGGATGCTCCTGAGGCAGTATGACTATATACTGCTTCCTCACTCCAGTTTCTGGCAAAAAACATAGTAGACTGCCACCAGATTCACTGACTGTCAGAAGCAGATGATTACATGGTCAGGTGGGTGACAAATTGGCTTAGAGGTCGTACCCAGAGAGTGGTGGTGGATGGGTCGGTATCGACCTGGAAAGATGTGGACCATGAAGTCCCACAGAGATTGGTCCTTGGACCTGTGCTGTTCAATGTCTTCATCAATGACTTGGAGGACAGCATGGAAAGCACTCTGTCCAAATTTGCAGATGATACCAAATTATGGGGTAAAGTTAACACACCAGAGGGTAGGGAACAAATCCAGGCAGATCTGGACAGGTTGGAAAAGTGGGCAGAACAGAATAGGATGCAGTTCAACAAGGATAAGTGCAAGGTGCTGCACCTAGGGAGAAGGAATTACCAGCATGTTTACAGGCTACGGGAGGAGCTTCTCAGCAGCACATCACCAAAAAAGCATCTTGGAGTCAGTGCTGACACCAAGATAAATGTGAGTTGTCAATGTGATGAAGCAATCAGTAAAGCTAACCACACTTTATCATGTATTAGCGCGTGCATCACAAACAGATCCAGGGAGGTGATACTTCCCCTCTATGCGGCATTGGTCAGGCTTCAGTTGGAGTACTGAGTCCAATTTTGGGCTCCACACTTCAAGAGGGATGTGGACAACCTTGAGAGGGTTCAGAGAAAGGCCACTCATATGGTTAGGGGCCTGCAGGTAAACCTCTACAAGGAAAGACTGAAGGCCCTGGATCTCTTTAGTCTCTGCAAGAGAAGTCTGAGAGGTGATCTTGTTGCCGCAAGGAATATGGGATGCTCTGCTTACCAGGGCACCCCCTGGAGTAACTAGGAACAACGGCCACAAACTGATGGACAGCAGATTTAGGTTAGACATCTGGAAGAACTTCTCTACAGTAAGGGTTGCCAGAATCTTGAATGGGCTTCCAAGGGAGGTGGTGCCCTCCCCTACCTTGTGGGGCTTTAAGAGGAAGCTAGACATCCACCTGGCTGGGGTCATCTGACCCCAGCGCTCTTTCTGCCCAGGGCTGGGGGTCAGACTCAATGATCTGCTGAGGTCCCTTCTGACCCAAACATCTATGAAACTAAGAATGTATGCTTAGTAACAACTAATGAATAGACACAACTAAGTAAAAGACACTTACTTTTAGCTGGCACAAGTACGGTCTCCAGATTCTATCCATCAGGTCTTGTCTGTATTTCTTTGTAAAGTAGCCCAAGTAAGAGACAAATGCTGTGGTTAGCAAGACGTCTCCACACAGTGTACTGTGTTGCTGTTTGAAACCTTTCACGGCTTCTGCCCATCTCACATTTTCAGAGGCAAGTCCTCCAACCTAGAATTTCAAATATAAAATTAAACAGGAAAATACATTTTAGATCATTTTGCCAGCTGTTTCTCCCATTTACTGAAAGACTGCCCTGACAATATGTTTTCCTGGACTTTCTCTAATCTATCTTTATCCAACAGGAGGCCTTCACTCCCCTAGAAGGCGGGGTGGGGACTGATCCACAGACCCAGTCTGGCCTGTGGGGCCAGCCACACACCATTCTTCTGATCGACCACCCTTATCTGGCCCACAAGGCCAGATGAGTTTTACACTCCTGGCTTAAAAGAAAATCTCAATTTTTAAGTAGGCTTGTTGATTAATTGTGGTTAACGCAGGCAATTAACATGTTAATTTTTTTCACTTTAATTTTTTTTAATGTGGCAGGGGCAGGGAGTGAATGGGACCCTGGGGCTGGGGCTGGTTGTGGGATGGAACTGTGGCAGCTCATCCAGGGAGGCTCTCATTACTGCACACTCCCTGGAAGAGGCATGGGGGAGTATGTGCCCCCCAGATTTGTGCTCAGGGCAGGGGCAGGCTGCTGCTGCTGTAGTCTGGGACTCTGTGCTCCTCTGCCTTTGGCTCAGGAGCCACATCCTGGCTACACCGTGTCCCCTGCCTGCCCACTAGCGGGAGGCGCATCATGCAGCTCCCAGGGCAACAGCAGCAGGGCACAGAAACCAGCACACAGTGGCAGCTTGCCTCTGCCACGCACACAAATCCAGGGGGGATGTACCCCCCATGCCTCCTCTAGGGTGTGCACAGTGGTGGAAGCCTCTCCACACCCCTGGACAAACCGCCTGCAGCTCTGTCCTATGATTTGCCTCAGCCCCGGGGCCCCATTCACTCCAGCCCCTACACCTGCCTCTGCCCCAATCCCTCCCTCACAGGAGGGGACTCTATCTGCCTCCACCATCCCTTCCCTCACCCGCCACAGACTTACCTGCTGAGTGGTGTCTGTGGGTGCGTCTGTGGGGGGTGGGGGGTGGTATGTGTGTGTCTGGCTGTTCCAGGCTTCTAAGCCACAGCCCCCCCCCAGCCCTGCTGCTTCCCCTCACTCTTGACCCACAATACAAGTATCCTGCCAGGGTATGTAGGAATCCCCCTCCCTCAGCTCCAAACCCTACACATACACACAGCCCCCCAACACCTTCACAAATACCTCCTTACACACACATGCCCCACTCCCATCCCACAACCATACAAAGTACCTGCATAATTTTGCAGAATTGTGAGTTTCTCTGTGCATAATTTTGAGTTTTTTGCAGTGTGATTAAAATTGTGATGAACTGCGACTAATATTTTTAATTGTGCAACTAATCATGATTAAAATTTTAAATTGTTTGGCAGCCCTATTTTTAAGACAATCTTACGTTTTTTGCATGCTAGCATATGGGGATGTTTGGTTTGTAGCCTACATTTATATTCACTTTTCCTATGATCCTGCTTTGAAAATATACATCTCATCCTGACCCCTAACACTGATTTCTTGCAAACTCTGTACTAAATAGAGTGTCTGTATTTGGCATGATTTTGTCCTACTTACACTTTTCATTTTTATAGACTGGATCCATTTCCTGTCCATTTTCCTAATTCCTTTAGGGCTCTTTATATGATTTTTCTCTGTTAAGTGGAGAATTCCTGAAAACACCATTAATATGTTGCTTTCCTTGTCTTCCAGATCATTAACATGAAATTAATTAAGACCAGACCCAATATAGATCCCTCTGTACCCCTAGCACATATTTTCCATAACTCAGAATGTGGTAGTTTATTTTTACCCTTCATTCTTGATTCTTCAGCCAATTTGAGATTAATGTAGCAGATACTTCTTATCCAAGGCAATCTGATTAATTTTTAGGCGACTTGTTACTAAAATGAAGACATGTTAAAATCTATTGCATTCTCTTCATTCCTTGTTTTGCATTTCAGTCCAAAATGTCAATTAAAGTAGTTTAGTGGGGTGTATTTTTATATGACCTCAAAGCTTTTGCTCACGGTCCTATTCTCTATTCAGTTTCTGTTCCCAATCACATGGGTGGAACTCCTTTGAAGTCAATATGAGTTGCATTTAAGTAACAAAGTAGGGTTGAGATCTGGATGTTTATATTCCCAGAATATTGTGTCAGAATCAGAGATTGTATGGAAAGAGGTACCAATTATAGACCAAGAGGCTAAAAATGACAGTCCCTATATGTCCATCTTCTGGAAGCAAAAAAAATCTCTTAGGAAGGCCTCCAACTGAAGCTACTCCTTCAGTTAGATGCACTCAGACTGTATTGAACTTCTAGGCAGGCTGCAAGGCCTCTTAGTCTATACTGTCTTTTCCAAAAAAGACGGGTAGAGTAAGAGGCACCCAGGAACAAGTGAATTGGAGTTACTGATCTCATTTGTAATATATACATTTGGGAATTCTTGAAATATATTGTTAAAAATCTTTACTGTTCTGCCCCAGAAATATTACAGATATTTAGGAGCTTCAGTCCTCTTGGCAATTTATGGAAGGAGATGCCTAATTATATTTAGAAATCTGGATCTCTATCTGTTCAGAAATCTGGATCTCTATCTATTTACCTGTAAAACAGGGATGACTGTATTTTTACATAGGGGACATGTAAAAATAAATCTCACAGATAATATTAATCGTGAAGGATTCATACTAGAATAATGGGTCCATCTAATACTCTCAGCACTTTAGTGCTGTTCTTTATATATTTATAATTATTTTTCAGTAATTTCAAATATTGAAAGAAGTGCAAAAATGCTTTAATACATTATTTATTATAACATGTAGCCACAAATCTATCCGTTGTCTAATAATCTCTGGTGTTAGTAAGGTCTTGTCTTTAGGACATAGTTTTGACTGATCTTTACTTGATCAGAAAAGTAAATAATGAAAGGTATCAGAGTTGGGCATCTATAGTTGTGTATATAAAGTATATTATGTACAAATATACACAGAACATGACTAGGTATCCATGAAGGATTAGGGTAAGAGATGCAGCTTTCATATGGAAGTACTGTAAAATTGTTGCAATGGAGAAAATATAATGTAGTCTAAACATTTAGAAAATAAAATGCCCTGTGTTCACATAGTTTGCATCCTGATGGTACCTGACAAATTTCATTTATATAATTAAAATTCTACCTGTTGATACTTACTAGTCGATTTGCAAGAGAGATGGTACATGCAGTAGCTTCAGCTTCTTCTTGGCATTTAAGTTTGTCTGATGTAGCCTTCTCAAATTTGGCTGTGAGTTTTGCCAGGTTTTCATTAAGGTGCTGTTTATGAAAAATTACAACAACATTAAGCAAAACCTTTTTAAAATATAAGACTTAACAACAACTTTTCTTCTCTGCATGTCAAATTCTAGTCTGGTTTACTGCTATTCTGATTGTCTTGTGGAATGGCAGGGAAGATCTTCAGCCCTGCAGAAAGACTACTTACATTAAGGTCTCAGCTTGTGAAATCTCAGCACCTTGCATGTCAACTAGGATGCAATCCAATTCCTGTTTAGATCACTGTCCTCTGACTTGCATGGACACTGGATGATACCCTTGAAAAACTACCTGGTACAAAATGAGACAGAATGGAAGGGACAGCATGCTACAGACCACAGATGTGCATGGTATGCCATATAATTTGCAAGGGGCTGATGTCAGAATAGTGGAAAGGCTATTTATCTCAGGCACTGCCATGGCTTGATTTTGAACAGAAAAAAGGGGGTGACAGGTAGATTAACAATGATGGCTTAGGTCTTGGATTATGGTTGAGGATTAATTAACAAACAATTTCCTAGTACTATTGCCATCCTAGTGGACAAGTCCTCAAGGTATTTTTTATATATTTCTCCAGCTCATAGCCCCAAGAAATCATTCTGGCTGTAGGAGATGAGCTTGACATAAGGGAATACCAGGGTAAGTCCCAGGAAAAGGAAGAACAGGACCATCTCATGTTTTAGCCCTAGAAGCTGAAGGGCTGGAACACTTCCTCTAGAAGATAGGTACTAGAGGTCCAGGTCCCTCCTCACTTGGAGGGTGCTTGAACTCACATCTCTCTGACTCCCCAGCAACAGGCTCTAACCATCATGGCCCAGGTTAGGCATAATCCAGAACTTTCTCCATCCCTCCTTTAAAACCTGGCCCCTTGGGCAGCCAAAAACAGGAGATATTTCTGGCTAGGAGGAAAAGGCCAAAGCTGGAGAGTGACAGAGAGAGATGAGTGTGCCTTCTTGCTGCCAATGGGTTGAAACTTCTGCACTGAACGACTGTCCATCCACTTTGTCCAACAACTGTTAAATGCAAAGTACAGTGGAACAGCTTTGAAAGGAGTGTTGAATAAGGACTGGCTAAAACCTAACCTGTGGTCTGTTGATACAAGTGTTGTGCTAGATCATTAGAGGGGTGCAGATCAAATCTTCTCTAGGTGAGGGGGTGCCTGGAACCTAGGTGAGGGGGTTCCTGGGCAAATGCCTTAACCAAGCAGTTCTCTGGACTAAAACATGTAAGGAATCAACTTAGCTTTTCTGTGCTATACACTCTAGTAAGTACTAAAAGAGCTGCATACATGCCCAACTAATGTGTGAGTGCCTATGTACCAACTCAGTTCATGTGCATGCTTACACATCCACACTGCAGGGGGATAGAATTGCAATCTATATAAAAAGTGGCAAAAAAAATCCCACCTATGTGTCTAGAAAACAGTCATTTAGGTGTACAATGACAAATAGGATGCTGCCCCTTGCATACATCTGTACATGTATTTGTGTAATTTCCAGAAATTCTTTACAGCCCAATCTGTCATTGAAGCAAATAGGATAAACAAGAATTTAGTATATAGTATTGGGCACCTACAGTTAAAAATAATGGCTGCATATTACAATTTTAGGATCAGAGTCTCAGCAAGTATAAAGCAGTATAGTTCCACAAAAGTCAATAGAGTATACCAGTTTATGCTGGTTAAAAATCTGATGAAAAATATTAGTTAATGAAGACATACAATATTTGTACATGTATTAGTACAGTACAAATCGAATAGTATAGCATTATACGTACACAAATAATAATTTTAAGAAGTTATTGTTGAAATTGTGTTTCAGTGAAATATAGGCAATGTTTTGAAAGATTTCCACTTTCTTTAAAGTATCTTACCTCTTTAAAAACTAATGCCAATATTAGAAGTTCTGGAAATAAGAATGCTTAAGAGATCCCAACATTTCTCCACTCTTATATATTACTTTTAAGGTATGAGTATTGAAAGATAAATGCCTCTAAAGCAATCTCTATCACTATCCAGCCTTATGGGTGCTTCTATGAAAATAGAGATGGGTGACTGAATATATTTGTAGATTTTATACATTTGTAAATAAACGTGTATAGCAATTTTTTAAGATGCATGGTTATGTTAAGAGTATTATGTATTTTCCAACAGTGTGATGATTTGGTAGAATAGAGTATTTTTATTAATTCAGTAGAATAACTGCACTCTCCTGTCTGGTTTTATGAAACATGTCCATTGTGGTATAGTATGGCTTGATGCACCTTGAAAGTTTGCAGCCAGCACATGCACAATTTGTTTGGTTTTGTTTCCTTATTAATTGCAATATTAGAAAAGATTGGAGAAAGGTCCTTTGAGTAAGAATTGCATTTTATGATTGCCCAAGAATATTCTGATATTCATTTTGTCCTCTAAAATCTGCCAATATATAGGTTTGTTTAGATTGAGTGAGGTGAGAACAACTGAGATTATGTGGCAATAGGGAATTAGCTGGATGTAACTTAACTTCTCTGTTTATTTCCAGACTTTTCAGTTAGTGGGATGTTACGTATGGCCTTTTTAATGAAAGTATATTTTTAAGTGGGTGGCTATTCTCCACTGAAACCTACTTTTAATCAAAACATTTTCCCCCCCATTAATGTTCCTGTTCTTGCACAAATTTAAATAGGGAATGGTGTATCAGATATGTCAGTAGGGCCACCTGATTTGACAGATCATTTGTGTCCAGTTAAAGTGGAATTGGCTTTCTGCAAAATATCACAAGTACATGGGTTGTATGTTTGGTGAACAGGAAAAAAAAAAAAAAAAAAAAATCAATTCTAGTATGTTTTAAAACTTTCTAGAACTCATTTTCTGTTGATTATACATATGTAGTATATGCAAAATATATTTTGGCTTGTGTTAAATTTTAACAGTGCATGGCGAATGTGGAAATCCCAAACTCATTCTAGAGAACAATTTTGATAGGGAATAATGAGAATCAGATCCTGAACCTTTGCATGAAGAAATAGCCAAGAATAGAACAAAAGAGATAGAATATTAGAGTGCAGAAAAAAAAATGAAAGTAGGAAAAAAGACTTAAATCTGCCAAGTCCTTAAATACATTCTTTCAAAAATATACAGAATTGTAAAGAAGTGCTGTTAAGTACTAAGCATTTCTTCCTTGGGAGGGAACTACATGACAGCTATAGCTGATGAATATGCACGTCACACTTTTAAAATTTGTTCTAAACTTACAGCAATTTTGGCTTTGATGTTAGCCAGCTTCTCCTGTGCAGCAGCTAGTTCTGCATTGGCTTTGTTCAGAGCCTGTCGCTTCGGCTCCACATCGCAGTACACCTCATAGAACCTCACAATATTTATAACCCAAGAACAGAGACCAGCAGCAGCATAAGACTTGGTTGTCACAAGCTCAGGGTTAAATTCGGGATCCTGTAGATATGGTTGAAGTGCTCTGAGACAGTTCTCATGTATATTCTCCTTATTAAAGTTGACTAAGGCATCCAAGAAACTATCTACTTTGGCCATGGTAATCTTAGCTGCTTTCCAGCTTCTGTCTTTGGGAACTTTTCCACCTGGGGCCATGAGCACCATTACAGCAGCAGTGACATTGCTGACAGCTGAAGGTGGTGACCCAAATGATTTCAGTTCTGTCAGATTGTTCTGAAAAGGAAAAACAAGGTTGTTAGAGTAAAATGAACAGGTTTTCCTTTTACTTAGCTACTAATGGAGTCAGGCTCCTGATTTATCAATCTTAGAGAGCAGCTTTGAAGCAACACTGAATAGAGTGGGCACCACCCCACCCTGCACACAAATCCAGAGCACCACTCCTGTCATCCAGTGTGCAGATCTGGGGGTCCGCACCCTCAGGAGGGCTGTGGAACTATGCCAGACTCCTCTTGGGGGTGCAGGCCCCTGAATCTGCATGCCAGATGACAGCAGGCAGGCTGCCACTGCTGGCAAGTGTTACTAGTTTTGCTTTGAACAGTTTGAGGTGCAGTTTCCCGGAAACCTCTGCACCTATGAAACATGGCAGGCTTCATGCCCTCAGAAGGGGCTACCATCCCTGCAATTTTCATCCAAATCAGGCAAGAAATGACAAATTATTAAGCATTTCCATGATTCCCCGTTATAGCCTATATGCAAAACATTGAAACAGTTTCAATGAAACAAAATGGAACAGTGCTTCAAAACTAAATGAAATGAAACACTGTCCCTTCAAAATGTTGAAACAGAAGTTGAAATGAAATGGTGCTGTTTCACACAGCCTTACTGTCCACTGTCAAACACTCACTAGCTGTGGTTTTTTCGCAACCAAAATTTCAGTACTTGTACAATATTACACACATACCTAGATGATTCTATTCTGCCCCAGAGTCTACTTGGCCTTGTGAGCATACTCAGAAGGGAAGTACAAATCAAATGTAGCTGCACAAGTGCAAAAAGAATCTAACCTCTGCACATGTACCATAAGTTACACTTACACAACTACATAAATGACCATTGTCATGTGAAAGTAGAAAAGGATTTCACTCTAAGTTTCTATGTCTTCTGACTTCAAAGAACACTTGGAAATGTGAAGCAGGTATGACCTAAATTCTTTAAAATGACAAGACAAAGAAATGGTCCAACATTATTTTTGAAAAATCTTAAAATTTTAAGTCTGCGCATCAGAATGATTAATTCCTGCACCTTCACTAAGGTTTTTTTTAAAGTACAGCCAGGTCTCTGGGACTCCTTTCCCTCTCAGACTGACTTCCCAGAGGATCCTGCCCATCAGTTTCCAGAGTGAGACCAAGTCTGCTTTTCTGAAATCCAGGTTCAGTATTTTGCTGCTGCCCAAGTTTCCATTCATTTCTACATTCCCCACCAATTTTTTCCCATTTGTGAGCAGCAGGTCAAGAACAACACAGCCCCTAGTTGGCCTCTCCAGCCCTTGTACCGGAAGTTTTCCTCAACACTGTCCAAAAACTTATTGGATTACTTGTGAATTGCGCTATTGATCTCCCAGCAGATGTCAGGGTGATTGAAGTCCCACTGTGAACTAGGGCCACAGAACTGTGTTCTGAAAACCTCCTCTAGCTATTTGAGGAAGGCCTCATCCACCTCATTCTCCTGGTTTGGTGGTCTATGCAGACACCCTTGTTGCTCTCCCCTCTGACCTTAACCCAGAGGTTTTTCAAGAGGCCTTTTTCCAGTTTCATACTGGAGCTCTGAGCAATCACACAGCTCTTTTACATAAAGAGCAATTCCTTCTCCTCTCCTCCCCTGCCTACCCTTCCTAAACAGCTTATACCCAACCACGAGAGTACTCCAGTCATGTGAGCTATCCCACCAAGTCTCTATCATTCCAATCACACCATAGTTTCATGACTGTGTGAAGACTTCCAATTCTTCCTTGTTTCCCAGGCTCCATGCATTCTTGTACAGACATCTGAGGTAACTAGCCAATTGTTCTACTTTCCCAGGAAGAACAAGAGTACCTCCCCTGTTGTTCCTCTTGCTTGTGCTTCTTCCAGGTCACCCACTTCTCCGCTTACCTCAGGGCTTTTGTCTTCATCCCCTGGCAAACCTAGTTTAAAGCCTTCCTCACTAGGTTAGCAAACCTGTCTGCAAAGATACTCTTCCCTCTTTGTCAGGTGGATCCCATAATCAGAGGGCCAGGTGAGTCTTGGTAATCCTTTCATGACATCTCAGATCTAGGTTCTGGGCAAGCTGTAGACAACAGGTCAGGCCTGCAGATGAATGCCTCCATTCCCTGCAGAAAGGAGTCACCAACCACCACCCTGCATCACTTCCTCTTAGTGGCAGTAGTTGCAGTCCTCCCAATCTTGGGGAGGCCTGGCCTGACCTCTTTCACTGATAGAATGTGCTCCTGTTTCCTTGTCACTAGGGTTCCATCTCTCTTCTCCAGGTGAACTACTGCAGGTGGGAATGAAGACTTGTTTGCTGCCAGAGGTCACAAGCTTCCAGCTTCAACCTTCTTGACAGTGCCTGCCTCTTCCTTCTCTAGCACCACCTCTGACTGCTTCCTCCACAGTCCTAGAGGTCTCCTCCAGCATCAAATTGATGAACTCATGACTGAGGATGCTTCACAGCCTCACCACCTCCTCCTGTAATTCTCTTGCCTGTTCCCTGAGGGATGCCACCAGAAGGCACCACTCACATCACAGGCACTCCTCCACCTGGCTGTCACTAGAAGGAACCTGCAAGCCACCGTCCCCACAGCCCCAAACCAGGACCTGGATGGAAGCCTCAAAGGTGAGCAGTCCTGCCTGGACAGAAACCTCACCAGGTACAAGGAGAGGAAGAGTGGGAGTGGCAGTGGTTCTGGCATTGCAATATCCTCCAGCCCTCTCTCTTGGTCTTTTAAATCTGCTGCCTGTCTCTCAAAACAGACCTTCCCTAGCAGACTCTCCTGTAAGCTAGCCTGTTCGCTGCTTCTTGGTCCAGAAAGTTCCCTTTTCACTGCTTCTTCTCACCAAGCTTACAGTGAAAGAAGTTGAGAGAGAGAATTTCCAGGCAAATTCCCTGATGAACTCCCCATTCACTCTGGTCTCTATTTAAACAAGAGACTTAAGTACTGATATAACTGCTGAGTTTTAGCTACTTATACTGAATGTCTAGGTTAGTTATGCTTAATTCATTAAAGAAAAAACTAACTTTAAAGGCTCCCCTTCAAAGGGGGGGAGGGCGCAAATTAACCTGTAAACTGCCTGAAAACTCTCCTGTTTGCTGTCCCTGGTTGCTCATTCCTTGGCCACTCCTCCTGGGCCTGGATTGGCTCTGCCCCCTTGTTAGGGCTTTTGTCAGATACAGGCAGCAATAACTGTAAAATCGCTTGGCTAACAGCACTCCAAGATGCTCAGAAAACATACCCAAATGCACAGCCAACCAAAAAAACTTTCATCAAGCCAAACACACAGACATCCCTGGCTCACTTACCTTCCAGAAGCTAGATTTGGTGCCTGGCTCCTCTTCCCCTTTCTCCTCTTGCTCCCAGTGAACTGCTTGCAGACTGTCCTATTTGCTGTCCCTGTTTGCTCACTCCATATTGATTCCTGCCCAGCAAGTCATGTTCATCCATTTGCTGAACATTTTTTATTATTATTATTTTTTCTACCAGTTTTCTACCAAAACTGTGCCGGAGTTTATTCAATCACATTAACAGCATGTGTAGATGCGCCCTATGCTGTATACATCACATTCACCAGAATTCCTCTCTCCCCATTCTGTCACCTTCCCACTCCTCTGGTTCAGAAAACTTTTTGCAAACTTTACTAATTTAGGTGTGTGGCTGAATGCTTCCAGTCCACTCCTGTTCTGTACCATTGCCCTCCGCCCCCACCCCCCCGCTGTAATTGCTCTCCTATGGCAGGGACTCAGAGTAATTCCTATTTGTCCCTTTGTCAAATGCCTGGCCCCTGCCCGTACATATGCCTTGAGCTCCATGTTAATCCCATTACCCCATCCTCATTGCAGCTTACCCTTTCCAGGGTGAAATCAGAGAAGATGCACTCTCTGTGCCTTGATTTCTCTTACTAGCTCCCTTCTCATCTCTCTGTGGGCCCCTGCTTCCTCCCTCCCCAACTCCCCCTCCACTCCTGCTTATTAGGGCCCTAATTTCTTTTTCCTGTTTCCCTTGCCCCCGCTTCCAAGTCCCCGGTTCTTCCATTTTTATGTCCCTGCTTCCCCTATCACCACCAATCCCCAACAACCACTTCCGAGTCCCTGCTTTGACCCCCACATAAATGCTAAGTCCCTGATCTCCTGCCAAGTCCCCTTTCCCCTCATACTCTCTGGGCTCCTTTATTTTTCCCTATCTTCCAGTCAGTGTCCTCACTTCTCCAACCAGCACTGCTCCTTTCCTCTACTCTAGGTAGCTCCCTCCTAACTTTATTTTTGCTCCTTATTCCCCAGGTTCCCATTTTCATCCGCACTCTATTCTCCACTCCCCCAGGCCCAAACTTCCTCCTACAAACCCTCCCTTAGTTAGTTCAGACTGAAGACAATCTCCCAAGAATGGCAGTCATGCTACCATTTCTAACATGTATGTGGGTGGGCAGAGAGATACCTTTACTTTTATTAAAGGGGGTCCATATTTTCTAGTGGATGAGACTTTTCCCCAACATCCACTGTTTTACTCAGTGCTGCCACTGCATTATGGGAGAACAAAAGAAATGTCATCAAGTCAAGCATTAGACCTCATTTCACTCAGCCAATTATGGGGGGAAATCTAATTACCAAGAGCAGCTTTGGAAGAAGGTGAAGCAGCCCCATAGGTCTGGACAACATTAGGAATGGTGTGGGTGCTACAAGGATGTATTTTGCAAGTTTTGTTTCAATTATATATAATGCAATAAGCTAACTCTGTCTCTGCAGACACAGGTAGGATGAAGAAAGTTACAAGCATGGACAGAATTAACAGCACAATGTGCTGGGCACAATTTGCATACACAGTAGGAGACAGGGAATACCTGCCCCGAGAAGCTTCCATTCTAAGGGCTTCTGGCCAGTATAACGCTATCTGAAGAACTATTTCAATATCCACTTAGCAGACACACATAAGAGTCTAAGAGTGGTTTTCCCCCTACAGCTCAAATCAGTTCCCTAGTCACAACATGCTATACTGGAGAATGGCCTCTTTTGGTGATGTAAACACATCTAGACTAGGGTTTTGACCAGCCTAGCTAAGTCAGTTGCAAGGTGATTTATTAACATTCTTCAATGACATAGCTGTGTCAGCAAACTTTTCAGTGTACTACATATGTTATGGACAGTAACAGGACAGGTTAGAAGTTGTAATAAGAGTAAACAATGGGATGGTGACAAACATCAAACATATAGCCATTATTCCAGTACCTTTAACAATCAAAGTCATATGCCTAACATTGCAAGCTGAACTAGGACAGGAGACGGCTGTGCATGGCTTCACTTACACAAACCTATCTGTGTGATGTTGGGCTGTACCTTATTATACAGGCATTGCAAATAGTTTGATGCAGAAAGCAGTGGGTGATATTATGCATGTTCAACCATTTCAGCCATAGACCAGTTATCTGGAAAGGTTCTTCACCATGCTGACTAGGAATGGCAGACCTCAAGTGGATTCATGTATTAGCCCTTCCATCCCAGTTAATATACTATGTAGTCTATGAGCTTAAGCATGAGTTAATTCAGAAGCTCTAAACTCAATGTTAAATATCATACTTGTGTCATTCCTAAGAGCCATGTATTACTACATCTGCTAAGACTATTTTTGGAGATTAGTGTGAAATTTTCCTGTGATAAATATTTGAAACTCTGGCTATAATGTTGTGTTTTAAGTCAGAGGCATCAAACTCATTTGGCCCAATGGGATGGATGAGTGGCACGGAGCTGGTACATGGGCCAGATTGGGCCTATGGACCCCTCTGGTCTCCATCCCCATCCCATGCCAGATCCAGTGCCTGCAGCACCTGCTCTGGAACACCTGCTCTTGCTGGTTTGGGATCCATTCTACACACGGTGCCCACCCCAGGCAGTCTAGGATCTCTGCTGTACATAGCACCCTCTCCCACCCCCATCAGTCTGGGATGTGCACTGCACATAGCACAGTCCTGGATTGGGTGGAGCAGGGAGAACTACATGCTACAGTCCTAGACTAGCCAGGGAAGCCACCAAGTGTAGCACAGACCCAAGACCAGCCAGAGAGGGCACTGCCTGCAGTGCACATCCCAGGTGCTATGCCCAGTGGCACATGGGTTAAAACAGACCCAGAGGCAGCACTGGATGCTGAATGAAGGTGCTCCATGAGCTAGATCATTGACAATCCTATTTTAAGTGAACTGAAGAAAACCTAAATTATAAATTGGATCAAACTGGCATTTTTGGTGTTTATAGTCCTGCACAGAAATAATCTGGAAGCAAAGCAGGAAGAGTTAATAATATCTTTCAGTTACATGAAATGTCACAGGCATTACAACTAGTTCAGATCTGATCTTGTCAGCAGCTTGCCTCAAGATGCATAAAACACAAAAGAATAATAGAGAAAGACAACATAAAGAAAAGCAAAAATGGTTATAAAAATAGCTTGCCTGGAGGGGGCAGGGGGAAGGAAGACTAGAATACTTTGGGATACTGTGCCCCAGTGACCCACTGGTAAGACTATATTACACTTTCCACTCAATATCCTGAGTTCAATTACTGATGTGATAGCTAAGCAGCTGTCACATCCACTTACCATTATGGCTATTGATTTGCATCATAACTCCTATGAAGACGACCTGCAGGCTCAATCCTACAAAGTTCCTAGGCAGTGCACTAATAACAAGTTGTACAGTGCTTAATGTTAGAGTCTTATTTCTGCTGTTATTTTATAGGCAAGTGCCATATCGTACTTCCAACAAAGATAGCAAGTATGTGTTTTGCTTGAGGACACACTAAACTTCTGATAGGCAATGAATTTGGCAGCGATACCTGCACTCTGTTTTTACTCTGCTTTTGACAACCACACTTCTGCCCACTTCTCTGTGACTTTACTCCTGATAGATCTTGCAAGCTCTGCAGCAAGAAGACGATGGCCATGGCCTGGCCTATCTCCTTCTTCTACAAATCCTGGTCCATTCAAATGTAGTCCTGACACCCTCTACCAGATTTAAACTCACCACTCCATTTATGCAAAAACAAGGGCAGTTTTTTCTTATGCTGGTTTGCATTGTACTGCTCCTACAGCATGCATGGTTGTGGAGGAGAAATGGTGATCCCTGGACAATAACCTTCCCATGCAGAAAAGTCCTGGTGGACTGTTTAAATTCCAATGAGCTCCCACTCCTCGTGGCAGAGGGAGAAGCACAACTGAGTAGGCCCATTGCAGAGAAAAGGTGCTAACAGAGAACATATGGCTCCAGCTAGTCTCTGCTTCCCACAGTCCATAAGCAGAACAGAATTTAGATAAGCTTTTGAGACTCCTCTAGGTCACACTAGGTGGCAGGGGATGCAATCAGATGGTCAATAGTCACAGAACAGCGAGGAATGGATCTAGGGGTGTGCAGTGCCATCATCACACCCCTCTTTGTTTGTGTGCTGTAGGTGCAGTGAGCTCCCTGAGCTCACCAGCACATCAGTGCAGCTCCTTCTGGGAGCTCCATATGTGCTGTGATCTTTGAGCTCACAACTCTGTCAGCACAGGGTCTAGCTGGAGACCACACTTTCACAGGGCTCTGGAAGTCAGGAGATGAGTGCTGCTGCTAGTGTTTGCCCTTCCCTTTCTTCCTCTTGCTTCCATGATGAATTCAGTGGCAGGGGAAAAGAGGGGAGGAGAAGATGTCAAGTGTCAACACTCACCCCCTTGGCTCCAGACAGACCCTGCATTGATCAGCTTGTGATCGCAGAGCACTGAGCTCACTGGCATCTTGGATCATGGCAAGAAAGTGCAGTCACCCCCTCTTTGGTGATCTGGTGCATATGCAGTGAGGTCTCAAACATGCAGGCACCCTGCAGTTGAAAAGAGTGTGGCTACACATCCCTTGCTCCGATCCTGGATTTACCCAGGCAAGCAGCACATAGTTCAGGAGAAGAGGGATGAGGTACTTGGGAACTTGGGTCCCAATGCGTTATCACCCCTCACGTGATTACCCCAGATGTCTCACTTGGTACACTATGACAGGTCACCTCAAAAGGAGGGACATTACATTACTACATCTTCTCTAATCTACACTGAACTGTGTGTGCCTGTGCAATGTAAGACACTGGAATTCCTCTGGAGTCTCTCCCATACCTTATTAAGGGTGTTGAGAGCTGCCTGGGCAGCAGCAAGGGCTGGTTCTGCCTTGGCCAGGTCTTCCTCACAATCTTTTTGTTTCTGTTTGACCTCTTGGTTTATCAGTGCCACCTTCTGCTCCTCCTCATCAGCGATGGTTTTCTCCTTGCTCACTTTCTCTGTTTCCACTCCTACCACTTGTATCAATTTGTCAGCATCTTCATTCTTCTGTTTCAACTCCATTTCTTGAGCTGCAAGTTTGGCCTTCAGGTCATCTACCTAAAGTGAGAAAGAATATGAACTAAAACAGGAAAGGAGGTGGATGCAAGTGTAGTAAAATTACATATGCAAGAGTGTCCAATGCATTGGTAATCAATGGTCCACCACAGGGGAAATGGAATTTTATTTTAACAAGTAGGAACTGCCATGTGGGATCAGACCTGGTATTCATCTAGCCCTGTATCCTGTCTCCAGTAATGTCCAACACCAGTTGCTTTAGGGGCAGGTACAAAAAGCCCTGTTGCTGTTTACAAGAATCTGATTTTAGATAGAAAACAAGTGGTAACAGATCTTACTGAAGCTGAGTGTGGAAGGGTAGGGAAAACCTTAAACGTTGGTTTAGCATTGTAGGTATCAGACAGTTTGATGAAAATTACTTGACTCTTGCCTATAAAATCACCATTAACCCAAAACAGTCCTAAATACCTCTGCCTCTCAGGGCCCCTCTAGACATGCAAGTAAAGGCATGATGGGATCTGATGATGCTCCCAGCAACACAAGTACATGGTTTGCCCATGGCTGGGAGCCCCATCAGCTGGCAGGGCCCCCAAACACAGGGACTTACATGGTTACATGTTTAATTAATAGTGTGATAGGAGCCAGACACAATGTTAGGGCCTTGTTACACACTGTGCTGATCAAATGTTGATCAGTGTTAGTGCTAGCTCCAGTTTGGAGCAGTTACACCTTAAAGCTGTGACTTGCTACTAGAGGGTTGGTGAGCAGGGGCCTGACTAGGAGCTACAGTTGTGAATTGCCACTACAAGCCTCATAACTAAGGGCAAGCCTCTATACCTGCTCTAGGTGGGGGAATATGAGAGATGGGTTGCAGGGAAAAAACACATGAAGCTGGAAGGCAGAATGTTAATGGGATGGGGGTGTGAAATGAAGCAAGTCAGCCACTGAAGGATAAAATAAAAAGTAAAAAAAAAGAAAAGAAAAGGCAACACATTTAAAAAGAAATAAAGAAGTAGTAAATTAAGTAAGGTCTCAAATGTTAATAAAATGGGATTTGGGATTAGGATGTGGGGGGCGCTGGTCATGCTGCCTGCGGTGTTTGAGAGGTGGAAGTGGTAAGGAAAGGCATTTTTAGGGGAACTACTTCCCCTACCCCAAAAGGAAGCCCTGCTCATGGGGACCCAATCCAGCCAACTACTTTGTTCCCCCACCCCTACTAGACCTCACTCCCAGATCCAACCGTGCCCCTGCAACCTGTGCTCTGCAGGCTGTTTGCGTGGGGTTGCAAGGTCATAACCCTAGGGGGCAGAAGGGGAAGTTGGTTTGGTGCCAGAACCACCCCCTCGACACTAGAGTTCAGAGGGTGAAATGTTTTCCACACAGAACAAGAGTGGGGAGAGGACACAGCATTTTGGGAGGCTGGAGGATTACAATTTGGGTAGCTAATATGTGGAGAGTGGCCACACCTTAATAGAATATAAAACGAGTAACACAGATCAGAGATAAACCTGCCCACCTAAAGTGTGCTTAAAACTAGTTTCAGGTGTTAATGCACAGACACTCCAGGTCTAGGGATAGACATTCAAAAAGCCTGAGCCTGAATTGATTCCATCTTTGCAGGTTAGTCTAACCTGGCTAAACTGAATCAGTTTGCAACTGCACAGACATTCAGGCTAAAAACTGGGGGGCACTAGAGTGCTGAGCTACCCTTGCACAGTGCTGAGCAAAGCGGTGGGCATGGCCAAGCCCCAGCAGGACTTTGATTAGGGAAGTCTGCCTGCACCATCATAGGCCTTTCCCTGCTTGCAGCTCAAGGGGCAGGAGTGTTGCCAGACCCCAGACCCCTGCTAACACTCTGAGGCAAGGAGGGGTGTGCAGTGGATGCATCTGTTGATGATATGGAGCTTTTCAATCTCCCTCCCTGCTTCTTTATGCTGTTTGCAGCAAACTGACAGGGGAGCAAGACAACAGGGGGCTAATAATAGTATTTATCACCTCATCAGCAAAACAATGGTGTCTCTCCATTACTTCAAACTCTTCTTACACAGCTTACCAGCAGACCTGTTAATTAGCTCCAAACAGCCCTAAGTGGTCACTGTTCTGTCTGCCTATTCCAGTGAAAATGGAGACACAGACATGCAGAGACACCTCTTGACATTAGATAACATAGCACATGCCTAGGGTCTGTGAGGCATGGGTCCCTGCTGTGGGAGATGAGCAGGAGGGTGGGAGGGGGCATTCCTGCTTGAGCAGCAAGCAATAACAGGGATGGGGATAGGGCAGAGGGAAGCCAGGCAGATCCTGCTGTGTCTGCGCATGTCTGCCGGAGCCCTGGCCACAGAGCAGAGGGAAGGGGCCAGCCCTTCTGTGAAACAGAAAGCCCTGCCCAGCCCAGAGAGCATGGGGGTGCTGGGGGTCTCTGGTTTATATTAAACCACCAAGAGGTCTGGGACAGACATTGCATAAACTGGTTTGGGCCAAATCAGTTAAGTCTGATACTACATTCAACCAGGTTCATCTCAAACTGGTTTCAGCCATTTTCAAACTAGTTTATGTGCACTAAAACATCTATTCTGTTCCAGGTTTAAACTAGTTTCTGATCACTTAAATTGGTTTGTGTGTAATGTCTGTCCCTACCCCAGGAGTTAAGTGCTGCCTAAAATGAATACGTAACAAGACCCTTATTACATATTTTTCATGGAATAACTTTGTGGCTTATTCCTCATCTTATCACACCATTAATTGAGTGTGCGGCTGGGTTACAGCTGAAAATGGGGGGCCCTCCCTTTACCCTGCTGGCTCAGTGACTGGTTCTCCTGGGTAGGGGGGCACTCAGGGTCCCCCTGCAGCCAATCGCCG